CATGGCTTGAGCGGTACTGACTGCAATGACGACGCTGGAGATAGGCTACCCGGAGATAGTAAGCCAGAACTAGAAGTATTAACAGTATTCGCTGCAGAATTTTCTGTACGTGCAGCGGCGGAACTTGCTTGAAGCTGAACATGAGGTTGGCTCTGCGGCTGTATGTTAGCCAGTGCAGAGGCTATTTTTTCGCTGATCAAGATGTCGATGTTACTTGGAAGGTCACACGATGTTGCGGACCTATTTCTTGATACTCGGGGTTGTACGGGTTGCTCTTCCGTTGTAGAGAAACGAGCAGGCGTGCGGGTGGTGCGACCGGACTTTCGTGTAGCTTTAGACTTGCCCATAATAACGTCGTTGAGATGTTGATCGGTGAACGAAGGATGAGAATTATCGGAGCAAAATGACGAGTTGTAAGCAGGCTGCTTGCAGGAACGAGAATGCTAGTCTCATTGCAGCTATGTACGCAAGGCAACTTGGTGGCGCTAAGGTTTGAATATTAAGCAGGATTATGTAAAGCAGAACTTAAATGTCAGGGTTCACAGAAACAATACCAATGTTGTTATATAATGTTATATAATATTGAACTTGATTAAACACTGAATGAATGGTAAAGCAACATGATGTCAAGATATGTTATGGGTTGGCCTAGAGAGGGCAGATGGTCATTCCCCTGCATTAACACCGATTACACTGGTGTGTAATCGTAGTATTATCAAAATGTATTATGCTAATTTTGAGTAGCACCCATGATTAAAGAGAAAATCACTTCATCAATTTTACTTTTATTGAAAATTAATTTTCCTATTAATTTAGGTTGCTTTAATTTTCTAATTTTGTGGTGTGAAATAGTTAAACACAAGCTGCTTGGTACATTTATACTATCGGTATAGGTTTAGCTTGTAAAAACAATTCTAACGCAATTTAACCAATTCATTTATATAAAAGCAGCAAATGCAGGACAAATATCATTTGAGTACATTAGTAAACAAACAAAAAGGCTTAAGGCTGCTAGACAGAGACATGGTAAATAACAATATTCTGACGAAAAATTTACTCTGTATCAGTCATGTATTAGATTACTCAAACAATTGAACACTGCAAAATGGAATAATGCTGACAGTTTAAGTTTAAAATGCAAAAATGTTGTTGACATCAACCTTGTAGTTGTGACTATACCAGACTACTTACAAGTCTACAAGTGGTAAGATACAAGTCTACTCCATAGTCAGAAGTTAGTCCTAAAGGGTTTATATTTTCACAAAGAATCTGCATGTTGTGATCACTAAGGATGAGTTTATTTCCCAACATATCTTTGATTTCCAAGTCTTCATTTTCATCTGATTGGCAACTTAATAGTTCATCGCTTGTAGGTTCTATACCATACATTGAATAATCAACAAGTTGAGGATCTAGTATGTCCTTAATTGCAGTGTTGTTTGCATTTTCTATTGCAAGTACACTTTTCATCCATAGCTGTTTTGGTGTATTAGAACTTTCAGTACTTAGTGGGTGTTCATTCCAACCTTCTCTAAAGATTTGCAATGCTTCATTAATTCTGGGCAAAAATACATAATGAAGACAAAATATATCCGCTGCATTACTTGGATTAAGTATTCCATCTTGTTCCATTTGATAGAACAGCTTATGGAAATGCTGGATACAATTCCTATATGTATCTTGGTGTAGACGCTCAATACGCTGATTATGAACAGATTTTCCAGCAATGAATGAGCCTCTATGATCACCACGAGTTGCTATCATGAATGCTGCTACATCAACATTTTCCTTTCCATAATCAGATCTGACTCTTGATGGTATACCATATTGCTTTGTTGACTTCCAAAATCCATCAAAAACAGTTGCAGCAGTTTTATTTGGGGCACAAATCAAATACACTGCAGTTCGGGAATACCCATCAATCCCACCATGAACATACAGGCTCCAACGTCTCAACTTTTCAAGACCATCTATAAAAATAAAGGCAAGTATAATAATTATTGAATAGAAAATTCAACATATTATTGAGTGTGTATTGCAAAATCTTCACATGATATGTAATACATGTAGGTTATGCAGTATATGATATATAAGTGACATAATAACATGTGATGTCAGGGTAGCATGACAGTATGGGATATCCGGGTGACATGGCAGTATGGGATATCTTGGTGACATGACAGTATGGGATGTCTTGGTGACATGGCAGTATGGGATGTCTTGGTGACATGACAGTATGGGATATCTTGGTGACATGACA